CCCCATATGCAGTGCAGCCACTCACTCTCAGCTAACGGGTGCCAGGACTCTCAGCTAATGCTGCTGCTGGCCTGTGTGTACTAGGTACAGAGAGAGAGGGGGAAGGGGCGGAGAGAAGGAAAGGCATGGAAGAGAGAGGAAAGGCCGCAAGGCAAGAAACCAAGAAGGATGTAGGACAAAACTGTTGGCGCTCGGCGTCTCTTTGTTGTTTGCTGTAGAAGGAAGGATAAGACGCGGCACTTCTTTCTTTCACACACACGACAAACCCCCCCCTCATCCCTCTCTCTGCTTTGGCGCTCTCGATCTCTCTACCGACTCGCCCGGCCATCCATCAATTGGTGAGTGTGTGTATGTGTGTGTGAGTGTGTGCGTGTGTGTGTGTGTGTGTGTGCGTGTGTGGGCAGCAGTCACGTCACATGTTTGATGAGACAAAACGGCTGGCCGCCCACACCACACACACGCACACGAGAGCGGTGGCACTTCCGGCACTCTCCTGCACTGCCTCTCTCCCGTCCCCTTCCCCCTCCCCTCTGCACCCATAAATTGTGTCTCGGTGCGGATCAGTGAGTGGGTGGCCAGAACGTGTCAGGCAGGCCGTCCGTAGCTCTACAGCAGCAGCAGCACATGGACATACACATACACATACACATACACGCGGATTGGAAGAGGGACGAAGGAAGGCATGGAGGCGCCAAGACGGCGCCAAAAAATCGGAGCAGCGTAGCGTGCGTGGGGGCAGCTGCTCTCTGTTGTGCTCTCCTCTCCCCCTCTCTCTTTCTCTTGCGTGTGGTATGCACGGCTCGCCGCACTCGTGTAAGTCATACGGGCTGGTATGGCTGGATGTCTGTGTGTGGGCGCCACACTGCTGCTGGCCCAAGGGCCGCCCGATGAATGGAGATCGTTAGGAACCCCCCCTCTCCCCCTTCATTCATGCGCACGCAAGAAGCCAGCCAGAAGAAGCCCAGTGGAATGGAAGACAGAAGCAAGAAAGAAGGAAAGCGGCTGCACATGGATTGGATTGCCCCACACACAACATCTCTCTACAATACAACGAAAGCGCTACCAGTCAATTCAAAGGTAGGTGTTTCAAAGCAACACACCCCAGCCAACCCCGGGACTTGACATAGAAAAAACAACAACACCACAGCGCCACTTCCTTTGGTTGTGTCCCTCTGGGCTGGGTGGAGTCTGCTCGGCAGAGTCCAAGGCCGCCATCTCATTTGAGAGCAGAGGTAGTGGGTTCCTCTGGTCGCAAACAGGATGGCTGACACAGACCTTGACGCGCAAACACCTCACCCAACGAGGGAAGACCGTCACCCGGTCTGTCTGTCTGTCTGCCGTCCTCGTGTGTCTCTGCCCTGTGTGTGGGGGCTGTGTACTGCTCGGTTCGCCGCCCAGCGCGCCGGCAGCACACTTATGAGAAGAGAGTGGCTCGTCTCTTCCCGTCAGTGAAGCGGCCGCACCGAGCGGCGCACCAAGCAACACACACACACACGCGGGAGGCTGGCAGATTTACGTTTGGGCAAAACTGATATGGATACACACAGCAGAGAGGGTGCAACACAACTCAGCTCAGGCAGGAAACACCCTCCCCCCCTCCATCTCTCTCTCCCCTCCCTCCCTCCCTCCCTCCCTCACTACATCCCTCTCTCCCTCCCTCTCTCTACAGGCGCCTTCCGTGAAGGCACCACAGACTGCCCCCAGATGTCAGATGTCATCCACACATCGTCCGTCGATTGTCTGTCTGTCTATCGTCTAGCTGGCGTTGGCCTTGGTGAAGGTGAGGTTGTTCTCCTCCGCGAACCGCTCCATGAACCGCATGAACCGCGACCAACCGTCGGGGCCCTGCATCACATACGTCGCCTGCACCACACACATCACAACACACATCACACAACACACACACACACATGCAGCTGTCCCCGGGGGGCCTTTGTGTGGGGCGGATCGGTCGCTTACTGACCTCTATAGCGTTTGGCACATTGTCGACGAACCGTGCCTTGACGTCCCGCGTGAGCAGGACGCCCTCCTCGTCTATCAGGTACATGCCCGTCACCTCGCCCAACTGCGGATCGACCTCACGGAACAAATCCGGGTCCTTACAGACACAGACACACAGACACAGAGGCAGGTGAGGAGGGCAATGATGAGAGAGAGGGGGGGGGGGGGGGGGGGGGGG